ACCCTGCTTCGCGACTCGTTCAGCCATGCAGGAGGCAAAAACTACAACGGCAACTACAACTACAACTACAACCTGCTACTACTAAACGGGGCTTTATAGGGTTTAGGCTCGCTTCGGAGCCTTTAGGGTCTATATGATTGGAGTTGCTGCGCTTAGGTTTGAAGGCCATGAGAGCTGAGCCATGTGATGGCCCAAGTCCTGATGCGAAAGAGGGTTGAAGGTTTATAGTTGAACGGGGTTCACTCTCCAGGTGCTGGGGCCTGCTATAAGGGTCCCTGATGTTGGGGTTTAGGGCTTACATAGGGTTTCTGGGGCCAGATGGCAGGTCTACTGCCCTTGAGGGCATCCTTTACTACAAGCACCCTGTAGGATCCCGAAAAGACCCTATAACTTATACACCCTCGTCAACCCTTTGAAGCCCGTCCTATCAAAACTTGTGAGCGAAATTCGTCAACCTCTACACCGGCCTTCTAATCCCGTCAAAAATTCTCACAGATCCTACAGCACCCGATAGCAATTCTACCAAGACGCTTTAACACCCCATGAAACCCTCAGATGATCAGGCTTGACACGCCCGAAACCCCTTGAAAACCCTGCAGGTGATCTGGCTTGACGAAGAGATCCTTCTGGATTTCGAGGAGATGGGATCGCAGGAGCGGACCAAAGGGCAGTATATAGGGGGCAATTCATGGTTGATTAGTTAGCTTGCCCTAACCCCAGGTACCTACTATATAGGGTACTAGAGGGTCCAGGGCCTTATATAGTAGGTAGTTGGAGGGTCAGGGTTGCTTTTGCGAAGCATGTGGGTCTTAGGTGCGGATGCTCTACTCCCAGGAGCGAACTACTTCCGGTAATTTGGTTTCGACCCGAGCTCATTTGGCATTCGTTGTGTTATAAGAGTGCCGTAGCCGCTCTTGATAACCTCATGAATGTAAAACCACGATAGCCAAGACAAGCACCCTGCCGCCAACTGCCGCAAACTTCAGCTACCAACGGCCGACACCTCTCTTTTTAGGGCTCTGCTTTCCTCGTTCCTGGGCAAAGAACCCGAGGCTGCCGCATGCCCCGACCTCAACGGGCCCCCACATGTGTGTGTGTGTGTGTGTGTGCCTACGCGAGAGTATGGAACGGTACCTGACACCAATCGTCTCCGTGCCTGATGCAACAACGAAACCGGTCGTCTCCGCGTAACGCAGATGACGGTATATGTATTTATACATACGTACATACATACATACATACATACATACATACATACATACATACATATCTCCACAACACCGCTACACCCCTCACCAAGAAAGAAGAAATCCCAAGCCCCAAACCCCAAGACCGCAAACCCAAAACTCTAAACCTTGCCAGGCCGTTGCGTCCGAAGCCAGCACTGGATCCCTGACCAGCTACGAGCGTGCGCAACAGTTGGTTGCCTGGAGACATCGGAAATTATCAATGACATTACGGGGTCGGAAGTGGATTTTTTTTTTGCATGGATCCTATCATTGAGGGTTCCGCAGTAATTGTTGAGACTCTCGGTGCCGTCTTGATGTAGCAGACCGGGGTTAGATTGAGGATGCTGTCTCCTGTGTCGACTTCTCCTTTTTGTTCGCGTTGGGCTCGGACCTCTCGTTTATGCTGTTCCTATTGAGGACCTGTAATGAGCAGTTTCGGCATGAGCCAATTCAGGGGCCCTTCTTTGAGTGCAGGTAAGATGTCGGACGCATTGCCATGGCACGGAATCAACAGTAGCCCAAACCAGCACTTGAGGTGGCGTGAGAAGGCGGGGTTCTTGTAGATTAGTCTAGGATGCCCCTTGTGTGGCTTCGCCTGCAAAACGACGACAAGAAGTAAAGTATAAGGATGACTGTTAACGTTTGAATGTATGTTACATGAGTACGATGACTAGTCCTACTAGATTCAGGTGCTACTAGTTCTGCTGGTACTACTACGTTTAGTGGCACTACTTGCTAGCAAGACCAGTACGACTGCTCCCGTAAGTACTACTCCCACTGCTACAGCTACTGCTACTGCTGCTGCTACTCCTACTGCTCTTGCTACGGCTACTGCTGTAGCTATATGCAAACTGAAGCTTGGAGACTTGCTACATAAAACCTCCCAAATCCGAGGCAAGCTGAGTGTCCAAAACGATAACGAAAGCGATAACTTTAGTTTGGCAGAGGTGCCTTTTGATCCGGTACTCGTGCCAGCTAGCGAGTTGAGGTGTTGGTGACCTGTTCGTAAGACCTCTGGACATCTTGGGATACGTTTTTAAAGAGGTTGAAGATGCTGCAAGAACTACCAAGAGCCAAGCCATCCGTGAGACCTTATAAAAGGAGAAGGAATACAACAGTGATGTCCCAATTCGGTGATTAGGGATTGATAGTGCGGATTTTATACAACCCCCAGTTAAGCCTCTCACCGCCCTGGACGATCATTGCCACCGCAAGTGTGCATAACACAGAGATACACCGCTGCATTGGGGTCCACCTGATGGCTTGGGAGCCATTCCGAAGGCTAGAGCTCAACCCTCAGAGGTCCACCTCTAGACTCTGGTCTAGAAGCTTGACTTGTTACCTGAGTTGATCATTAATCCTACCCGTTCAGGGCTGCTAGAGAGAGCTTCGGTGTGTGAAGTTGAGCGTGAAGCTTCTTTTGCTCACTCGGGCTCAGAGTCGCTTATCTGTCGGGGCTTGAAAGATTGTGAATATTATTCCTTAGTGTTCGTATCATGGTGATGATGGCAGCACTATATATACCCCAAGGCCTCCATATTATGTTCGGGTGTCCAAGCTTTTGCCAAAGTAGTCGCCCGGATAAGGCTTATCATAAGGCTATGGTATAGGGGTCTGAGCAACAACTACGATTGGGACTATGCGGGGACATCGTCTGTGACTACTGCATTATATGCTTGGGATCTGAAGAACCCAGACTTCCAGCTCTCCACCATGCTTTTCGTATGCGTTTAGACAGCTATCGTTGTGGTCACCCAGGCATCTCCAGGGGACATCAAAAGATCACCGACATCGAACTTCGGCCGGCGCACGCCGAAACGTGCAAAGCTCAGCATCGCACATAGCACTCGTGAGCTGGGTTGTTGCTGCAAAAGTTTTGACTTTAAGCACTTCACCGATGGCTCAGCTGCTGTCCCAGGCGATGCTGGGGGTGATGCTGCTTGGCTGGCTGTTCTAAGGGCCACCACCGACATGAAGCATGAATGCCGTCAAGGTCCAGTGGAATGTGCAGTCGCACTGGGTAGTGGTTCATCAGGAGTCCAGGAGGCAGGTGCCGCACAATTCGGCAACTTCCTGGACGGTCTTCCTAAAGTCTCTAGCCTAGGGCGGCACTCGTGTCCTGAGACCCGCACCATGGAAGTAAGGACAAGAAGAATGCGTCGATTCTGCGCAGATGCTTCCAGTGGCTTCAGTCGCGGGCAGCTGTTTGCGGCGGGCATCGCGCCTGCATGCAGCGAGGGTATGCCAATGCTAGTTCACGCAGCAGTCAGATTCATGACTAAAATGATTAGAATCATTGCTGTAAAGAGAACTTACATATCGCCATGGCAACAAGCTTAGAAATTTACATGATGGTAGAGTCGACCTGTCGACTTTTCCGTGCCTGCTTGTGAGAGTGTGCGAGCCAAAATACACGTGATGCAGATTGTATGGGGACACGAAACTCTACGCACACACAGAGACACACAGATACAGACACATCGACGCACAGACACAAAGACGCGAACGTGTGTATGCCGGGCTTCTCGTCCACTTTCTGATGCGGGTCTATATGAACCGTATCTCTAGCCACCAGTTTGTTTCTCGCACATGCCGTAAGTCCACGACATCTTTAGGTGGCTACAGAACAACCGTATTGAACTAATTATGTAGATTCTGATGAGTGATGATATGTCAAGCCAGCACTGTGTGCAACGGTACATCTTGAGATATGGTACCATATCATCTAGACCCATCAGTGATCTGTTCTATTCGTCGGAAGCTGCCAGCGGGAGTCAAAAAGGTTCGGAATATAGTCGGCAGATTGCACTCGGACTTGCTTTCTTGGGGCTTTGCAAGAGAGGGCTGCTTGTTTCGATCATTGCCTCGGGCGAAGGGCCGACCTGAAATTAAAGAAACCCCAAAAGCCCAAAAAAGCAATCCACACACCCCGAGGAAAGAGGATCAGGAAGCAAAGCTTCGACAGAAGATGACCTGGAAGTTTCGCGAGCTTGACGAGGAAGTTCCCGGGCTTGGGGTTGGGTAGCAGCTATATACGATAAGTGTTTTTTAATGTGCTCTATAAGAATTTAAGGTTTACATACCAAACTGATAATGTAGGGTTGGGGTTAGGGGTGTTTTTCAGGGTTGCGAAGCGAAGTTGTTTGGAAAGGTCCGCGAGGAACGGCTGCAGTTTTGGACCAGATAGCTGAACTCAAGTACTCCCCCGGTCAGTCACAGATTTGAGGCGCACGGAACCCTAAGTCTTTACAAACATCGGAGTAGACTGCATGAGAGTTAGTAGAAGACCTTTAGTAAAACGGAAAGCTGCACGCAGTCACAACCTGGACACTGATGAGGCGCACGGCTTCTGCTTGGCCATGATAAACATGTAGCAGTGGTTCAGCCTGGTTTCGCGAATAAACACCGATGTGCGTCCCGAAGCCGGTATGTTTTTTTGCGACTGCCAGGATGGAGAGGGCCTTGCGTTGGCTGACGTTCTTGCCTCAGTGCCAGTCATGCAGGCTATCTCTGTCTTTCTATCTTCTATGTTTGTACAGATGGATTTTCAGAGCACCATATGAACAGCCCGGTCCATCATAACGTGGAGACTGAGACATGGTACAAAACACCACAGGAAGAATTGTGCCCTGCTGCGCTACTTCGCAACCAACTGTAACACGTGGCAATGCTGATGCCTGCCTTATCCCATATATATATATATATAATATATATATATATATACATATGATAAGTATGTATATGTGGGAATTTTCATTGATTAGATTACGTCATATCTTACTGTATTTTGTCATACTCTATTGAACTATATCATACAGTAGAATATATACATATATATATATATATACAATTTTAATACTGTATAATACTATATGTATGTATGCTTACACATATATATATATATACACGTGTGTGTGTGTGTGCACGTGTGTATATATGTTCTAGTTATTTAGAACGTTGCATCCAGGGAGGGGCTTTGGTAGTCTTGCACTCGGAGTTGAAGCTCGGGGTGTAGGGTTGGGAGATGCCAGATGCATATGGGAGTTTGCGACAATTAGGGTACCTTATTTTGGGGTCCTTATAATAAGAATCCTATTATTTAGGGTACTATAGTAGGGTCCCCTATTTTTGGAAACCCCCTATAGCAAAGTTCAACGTAGCTCCGTTTTGAGGGCTTGCAGGGTTTGAAAGGGTTTAGGGTCGAGGGAGGAGCTACAGTGCTTTCGGTCATGACCGTTGGAAAGAACACTTGCCAGAGACATTGTGCTCCCCACCTCTTCCTGTAAGACAAAGCCAATGTGTAAAGGGTTTAGGGTCCTTCTTTTAGATGCCGTGACCATGTGTCTGTTCTGGTTGTGCACGTATCCGAGGTCGCAACACTGTTGACAGATGTGCTTGGCCACGCGCTCGATCGAGATGCCATGCTGCGTCTGGCGGCTAACGTCTACGACACCTTGGAAAGAAGCGAACAGGAAGGGTTCCGGGTGCGGCTGCCGGCATGTAGTGGACGATGGTGCAGCATTTTAATTTCTCCATCTCTCCGTCGCTTCTGGGTAGGTGCAGCCACGTTCAAAAGCTGCAACCATGTCTGAGGGTCCCGTTCTTCAGTCAGTGCCAAGCCCCAGGCAGTCGCTGATTTCAGACGTCTGAACGCAGGGAGGGAGTCGACACCATGCCAGGAGCTGCTGCAGCTTACGGAGCTCCAAGAGTGTTTGGAAACTGTGGCTTGGCAGAGGACTCACAATAACGGGGGTCGGTATCGCCCCTATATCGTCATGAGCTGTATTTGTGCTGAGATACGGGTGCTTAATGTTCAAGATTACCACTGTTCTCCCAAAAGCTAGGCTTTGTAGGTTTTGACGTGCAAGAGGAGGGGATGCGCCAATCCATAGTTCCATGCTCTCCATTGAAAACGTTCCAGTATGCCCGCGTAAGAAATCCTTAGCAACAACCTCACACCCGCAGAAAGAGCGTTGGAAAGCCATGTGACGAAGTTATGTTTTGGACGTGCAGCAACGGCGGCGCTATGTTTTGCAAGAACAAAGACAAGCACGACATCTTCAACAAGTTTCCCTCCTAAGCCCTCCTGTCGCAAAGCTTCTTCCCAGGACGGCTCATTCGTTCAACGCTCATTGTTTATGCACTATGCATATTCATAGGTATGTATACGTATCTGGTCGCTTGTTTATGTATGCTGCATAGCTATACGCATGCATAAAAATCTTCAGGTATGTGTGTATCAGAAGTAAATACCTATTTCTCGATGTATATGTTTATATGTATACATATATATATATGTACATGTGTATGTATATATATATATATATATGAATCTATATATATATATATATATATGTGAATATATATATATATATGAATATATATATATATATACATACATACATACATACATACATACATACATACTTACATATCGTTGTTGAGGGCTCAGGCTATTGATGGGGTTCTCTTTGGACCTCAGGTCACGACGGGCTATGATGCGATGGTCAAGCGCCAGACCCCGGGCTGAAGACGAATTTGGCCTAGGGACATGTCGGGAGGAAAGTGAAGCCGAACAATCTACTATCTTTGGGGTTCCATATTACGGTTTCTATGCATAACTCCTTCAAAAAGTTAAGGTGGATAGGGTTGTTGGGTTTGGATTCGATTACCGATGGTCTAGATATCCGTGTTTTTGCATTGGCAACGGTTGAGCCGACGAAACCGCTTCGCATCCGGGCCTTATGTTGCCTGGTGCTTCTGCGAACCTTCTCGTCTCGTGAAGTGGTTGCATGAATCCACACCTACGCCACTTGATAGCCTGACCTTCCTTCACGGTTCCGACCAGTGCTGCAAGAAGCATGATGGTAACCTGGACGGGAAACAGAAAGTCAGACCATCTGTGCGCCATGCAAAGTCGCAGCGTGTTGTTCTGAGTCAACAGACAACTCTGCCACCAATGGCACTTCTGTTCAACATGCACTGACAGCTCTCGAGCTCTTTCTTCCCAACATTGCTACGTCCCATGTTGTGGGATGTTGGAAAACCTCTCGACCATCGCATGATCTTCGGACGCCAGCAAGCAAAAAAAGATGTGAACGAACTTAGCATTATCGGAATTTCTGTTTCATCCCTGCCGCTCTTTTTCTGTCGTCATTACCGCCACACCATCTACACCTGCATCCGAAGCACATCACGGCGCGCGCGATCGCTGTCATCGTCTCTATCAGCAGATTCTATCGTAGGGGTGGCGGCTTTACTGATGCCACTGCACGCAGACAGTATTGAGTTGTATTTGTCGCTGTCGTCTGTAGCAGTGGTAATCACCGTAGCAGCAGTACGAGTAGTACTACATCGGTCTCAGAATCTCTAAAGACTCTAACTAAAGCCCCAAAAACTCAAAACATCCCAGCGCCCAGGAGAAAGCACAGCTCCCAGGGGCAGCGCGGAGAAGACCGATCCTGGCCGTGGGTTCAGCGTCTCGCAGGCTCCGAGTTCAGCAGTTTCCTTAAGCTTCGATGGGAGTGCAGTTTTCTGGCCATGCAATGTGGGGTGTGAACAGTTATAAAGCTTCTTCCTCAAGGTGATGCACCATGAACATGCTGGATACCCCCCAAAGCCAAATCCTGAGATTGCAAGTATTTTGGGTGGGGGTTGCAGCTGTCCAGGACACGGCTTTCAGGGGTCGTTGGTAGGTGAAGGTTGCATGCACTTGTAGGAGTCTAGCAATGCCGCACTTCGGGTTTTTGCAGTTGGATGATGCAGTCGCACAACCCCGCACCAGCATAATGTAGCGGTCCCGCATTCAGGAATACAGGTTATTTGACGCAGTGCTTTGCATTCTACTGCTGCTGCTACTGCTGCTGCTGCTGCTGCTGCTGCTGCTGCTGCGCTGCTGCTGCTGCTGCTGCTGCTGATCCTGCTGCTGCTACCACTACTTACGACTACTACCACAACCGCGATGCCGACGACCTCGGCGACGACGACTACTACTGCTACTTCTTCTTTTCTTCTCTTCCTGCCACTCCTACCACCACTACAACTACTACCGCTACCGCTACTGCTACCGCTACCACTACTACTACCACTTCCACTGCCACTACCACTACCACTACCACTACCACTACTTCTTCTGCTACGGACGACAACGACGAGGACTTCAAGTGCCAGTAAAGGCAACAAAGAAGCACCGGCGCCTGTGCTCAGGGTTCTTTGGCTGGGATGTGGGGATTTTAGGTCTGGGCTGTTGCTGGGGTGCTGGGTTCAACCCCATGTTGCAACCACTTGTTCCCCGCAGGCTACGTGATGCCAATGGACTCACCCTATCTGTTGGTGTGGGCAGCTTGGCTGTATGCTTTGACTGCAAAGTGGGCCCAACCAATCCCAATCACACCTTGCTTCTCTCAGCGAGCTCAAGGCTCCAATGCATAATTCATATGCTGCCTAGACCCACAAGTCACTTGCATATTGCATTCAGTGACCCCCAAAAGCTGCATGGTTTATATTCCAAGATGGATCTTGTGAGGGCAACAGGAAAGCAGAATCAATCATGCGCCAGTCAGGATTTCTTGAAAAATGCAGCTGCCATCTACTACTTGATGGAGGCCTGGACGCTGGTTGCGACACGGAGCTGTCAGAAGCTGTTCTTCCTGTCGATTGCAGCCTATCGCTCGAAAGACTGTTGGGATTGAGGTTGCCCGTTAGGGTTTGCATCCATGTTGGGTAACCTGTCGCCCAAAACCCAGAGTTTAGGACCAAGTGTTTTAGAGAACACTTCTTGGACAAGGTCTACTGAGGGTCTGCTTGCATTGTGGGACTGCAGCATTGCCAGATATTCACCAAAATCCTAAACCCCAAAACCTTCAAGCCATGGAGCACAGACGCTGTATTCATAAGTTCAATAGGCCTCACTGCAACACTACCTCTCCGCATCTCAGCCTTGTTACCAACAGGCAAAAAAAAACATGTTCGGTTCCGACAAGACTATGCCTCGGTTTAGGGTTTAGGGAGACTACACTGCATGACGTACAGTGTTAGTCAGCATTACTTTTCCAGTGCAGCATGAGCCTGCGCCTTGAACTCTGCTGAAAGTGGGCGCCGATAGAAAAAACCGAATTGCGCCTTCAACCCCCAAGCTATTAAGACTCGAGCAAGTCCTGAAATCCTGCGTTACCAGGTGCCCATGCGGTTCTGCATCATCAACTTCGACAAAGCCAGCCAACAGACCGCACTGGCCTGGTTCATCGTCAACATAGGCCGCCGAAGTGATGTGGGGTTCGAGCTCAGCCGATGACGGGATGTCGGAAGAAAGCAGCCACAGCTGCTGCTCCTACGAGCCATACATATGAAGGCTAAGCAGTTGCTAGCAGCCTGGCTGGATGGCTTCGATTGCATGTAAGATGCATATCCCCATTGCTGCCCCCTCGTTCTTGCAGAATGCTTCGCCAGAACATCTTCCAATTGTTCACCTAGTCGCAGTCATTGCCGCGCTTGTCCCTGAGCCACCAATGTTTTTCGATGACTTCGCTGTGACGCTTGAAGCTTTACCCCGGGAATGGAATTCTGCAGTTGCGGGTATCTGGCCGGAACTGAATGTGCGAAACACCTGTCCCACCTATGTCAAACAAGCTTGCTTTCATGTGTACGAATGATGCGCATATGCAGTGGCCTTTCGAAGTAAACTTGCTGGCACGAGATGCGCATGTGCCGCAGGTGTAGTGTTGTATTGGAGTGGCTGCAGCCGTGCGCCGGGCACATCCACTGGAGCCCCGAAGCAAAAACAGCTTTTGTCATTGGTCAGGCCCCCCAATTCGCCCGAACCACTTCCCACTCCGTCCCGCCGCAGCCATGGACGTCTTCATGTTTGCCAACTTGCCGTTGAACTTCCTTCGGAGCACCTTGCCAGGGTAAAGCTTTCAATGCAAATTCAGATATCAAAACTAAGCCCTCGAAATCCCGCAACCATAGTTACGACAAAGAGCGTTCAACAAGTTCCGATTCGTCCCTACTTCAGCATACAGGTTGAAACCAACCCTCCGTGAGACTGAGCTCCCCAGGCTACGAGGAGGGCAGCGGGATCGTCGTCCGCGATTTCGAGCAAATTCGGCGCAACTACCTGCTGGGTGCCTTCAGCATGGGCCCCGGACGGATCGAGGGGGGTACCAGTAGCAATAGGAACAGCAACCATCATAGTTGTAGTGCCAATGAGCACTGGTATTTATACACGCCGAAGACTGGTTTCTAGCAATAAAAAATAGCAGCAGGAGGAGGAGGTGTGGTGGTGGTACCAGTCGGAGTAGTAGTAGTAGTAGTA